GTCACAGGACTCATGAGCTTTAATTGAGACCAGACTTTTTGACAAATAGGAGCAGGTTTTGTTTCAGATGCGTCATATTTCATTGTACCCAGACCAGTGGCGTAGTCTACATTTTTGTAGTATGTATACTGTGCTTAGAAACTAATGTACACTAATTAGTGCAATCTAATCGTCAATTTATTTTGATTTTTAAGCATATTGAACATTTCCAAATTTATCTGCTTATATTTGAATATATATATTTTTGTATTTTGGTAACTGTATTTTTCTTTATTTATGAATCGATTGTAACTATTTTCACATTATTCAACAACCAAAATTGATTTTGTTTTTTAATTTAATGGCTAGGTATTAAAAAAAAAAAAACATTTAGCCCTCCCCACTACCCAGTTATGTTGCTCTTATTTTGAAATGTAACCGGAAGTTTTGTGTTCAGAGAGGCGGAAAGAGAAGTTATGGAGACGCCGCTAATGTCAAACCGAGACGCTGCCAATGTGGAACCTGAGATGGCGCTAACATCGAACCGAGACGCTGCCAATGTTGAACCTGAGACGCCGCTAATGTTGAACCGGTTAACACCATAGACATAATATGTCTGTGGTTAACACAAACTGATTTTTTTTTGTTCAGCCCTTTTTTTTGTCCAATCAGATGTGGCCTGCCAGACACACCCATTTTTCTATAGTCCAATCAGATATGCCCCCCCCGGATACGCCTCATCCAGTCAGATGCGGCCTCCCAGATAGGCCTTCCAAATTTGTCTGCAGAGATACATACTTCAACATTTTAGAGTTACCAATCAGCCTAACATGCATGTTTTTGGTCTGTGGGAGGAAACCGGAGTATCCGGAGAAAACCCATGCTGCATAGAGAGAACATGCAAACTCCACCCAGAAAGGCCCCTGGCCGGGATTTTAACCAGCGACCTTTTCACTGAGAGCCAACATCTCTACCAAATGGGCCACCATGCCGCCCTAAAATATAATGAATCTATAAACATAATATAATAAATAATAAAAAGTTTGGATTTTAAGGCAGTTAAATACTGAGGTGGATTTTTACGCAAACGAACATGAATGGTCATAAAGTCAAAGGTCGATACGGGTTATAAAGAAATGTATATCACCAGCTGCCTTTGAAGCCACTGTTTTAGTGGAAGCTCATCTTATGTTGTAAAGGAATGGAGTTTTAGCTGTTTTAGAAGAACCAATAATAGATGTCAATTACAAAAAATACTTAGCTGGAGGAAGCAGGCGCCATGAAGAACTATGATCTCTTTCAATGTTTCTTTACTTTTCTCTTGTAAAGCTACAGAAGAGGTGGAGACTGTCAGGAAATAACTCTTTGAAAGCCTTTAAGAGAATTTTTTGTTGTTTTTGAAATCACGTTCCATTAAGTTAAATAGTTAAAATGTTAACTGCCATGATATCTGTCAGAAAGCTCATAGTGTGGCAAAGGAAGCAGAATTTTTCATCCAGCTAGGCTAAAGGCTAGCCAAATGAAGGTCTGTTTTTTCAGGCCTATGAAAGAGCTCTCTAGAAAATGGCATACTGGTCTGAAAGAACACTGTATTAGCTACACTGCCTTTAAAAAATATTCACCCTTTGGACTATTTATGTTGGGTTTTTTTTGCTCATAAATTAGTTCTGGTTAGTTACATTGTCCTACTTCACAAATAAATAAATAAGTACATAAATAAAAAACGTATTAAATGTCTTTGCCAATGATTTAATGTAATCAAAGTAATGCCAATTAATAGAAAAATATTAATGTAAAATATGTGACTGCTTAAATAATCACCCACTTTAAAGTCATTGTTTTAATTCAGGTCAAAGAGAAGACTATTGGAACGGTTTCCAAGGCCCTAAACACCCCCAGGTGTCCTGTTACATCATTTATCATGAAATGAAAGAAATATTTAACATGTGTAAATCTACCAAGAGCAGGCCATCCTCACAAACTGAGTGACTGTTAATGTGAATGAATATGAATAGTACATGAATAGAGAATACAGATGACTTGTGGGAGGACTTGAGGAGCGCATATTTGTCAAACCCAACCATAAAGACAAGAGCAGGTCTCAGGTTTCAGTTTTCCAGCACATAATATGCAGGCTCGAATCTAATTCACAGAAGGGTTCACACCAATCTGACCTTTCATCCATGAGATCTGCCTTTGGGACCAGGTGAATAAAAACCCTAATGACCCTTGGGTGCAATTTGAGTGAAAATAATTTACATGTGAAATTAATCTGCAAAAATGTATCGAATCACTGCAGTTTAAAAGCTTGGAGATCCACAATTTTTAGTGTGAATTGAGTAAGCTCCTCTGATAGAAAAAAAAAAGAAAAGAAAAGCACCATCTCATCATTTTATGAAAAACTTCTTGGATTACTGAGAATCTGCTCCAACATGAAAGTGGCAGACGAAGGAAGTTGGACGGCCGTAATATCCGATCCCCCAGATGGCACCACATCAACCCCCACCCCCCGCCATTATTCAACAGTTGATAAAACCACATGAACAAGGGACTTACTTCAGGAAATCTTGTCAAACTCTAAAATACAGAGTAACATTTATAAATAGCACTTCAAACTTCAGTGAGCAGAATGAAGCGTCATGTTGACCTTGTCTGGAGGTGATGCTGCCTTCTTTAGACTTCATCTGGAATTGAGCTTCACAGTGGAAACAAACAGATGGACCAGTATTCAGTATATTTGTTGGAAGAAATGAGATCAAAGAGGAAATCAACCATCCAGACTGTTAGCAACAACTCTAAAACCTGTTTCTGTGATGGTCTGAGTTAAAAAAAAAAATCTGTATGCCTCTTTATAATTGTCTATTGTTGTCCATTGTTGTCATCTTTCTTTGTTGAAATCAGGTCTCTCTTGTAAATGAGTCCTCGAGGCTCAATGGGATTTACCTGTCTAAATAAAGGTTGAATAAAAAAGGTCAGTTCATTTCTTACAGCCAAACAAACATGGTTTAAGTCATGTAGAAGCGTGACAATGAACACGAATGATGCAAGGCAGTGAGCCCTACATGGTACCCCTACTACCCCCAACATGCTTCTGGTATATGAAAAATAATGTAAAAGCATGCTGTGTTACATACAACAGAGAACCCTGTATATGTGGATGAACAAAAAACATAAAAATGTGATGCAGGAGCACAGAACAATTATTTTAATGCAGGAAAATATGTTGAGATCTGAGAACATTTTCTTCTTTAGGACATTTGCAGTAAAAAATCCTGCCATTTGAAAATTACTTCTTTCAATGTACAAAAATAGCTAAAATTACTCCCTTCAGAAAACATTATTACCATAATCATGTCATGATTTTTCTCCAAGTACAGCATAATGTAACCTCTATGTATAACTAAACTTTAATACATGAAAGTGTTTTTATGCTCATAATGCCATGCTTTGGCATTTGTCAGTGTAAAAAAATTGTTTTGTAATTCTAAACCCCGTGTTTAATTTGTAAACCATATGATGCCAGAACGCAAATAGCAAGAGGGGGTTCGGGAGTCTGCCCCCAGAAAATTTTGAATAAAGTAGATGCCATTTTCTGCATTCTGATGTATTTCAACAGGTTGTTAAACATCTACATTTACCAACAATGTTCAGTCAGGTCATCTGGACGGTGGCTTTTTTGGCTGAGATGTTTTGTCCTTCATTCAAAGGACTTCTTCAGTCTGAGGAGACACAAATAAACTGGAGTCCCACAAATACCACACTCCCATAGTGGAAAAAACTGTTTACTGGTGATAACGGAATGACGGATGAGAGGGCGGGTCCAGAAACCATTTTTTCAGCAGCAAACTGTTTTTTTTCCCACTATGGGAGTGTGGTATTTGTGGGAGTCCAGTTTGTTTGTGTCTCCTCAGACTGAAAAAGTATTTTGGATGAAGGATGAAATGTCTCAGCAAAAAAAGAAACGGTCTAGATGACCTGACTGAACATTGTTGGATTTGTACCTGGATTAATGAGCATGGACTTTGGTGCATCTAGGTTTACCTACATAAGTAAACACTTGATTCAATAACAGTTTGAGACCAACAAGAAGTAGCCTGACCAATAGCTCTCCTTGTGTGAACAGAGCACACTCCACTTATTTCATGCATCCTAATTCCTCCCCCACCACCACCTTGAACTGGGCAGAAGTCCAAATTGTTGGGCATACCTCACTTGACCGTTCCAAGCCCGACTCTTCTCCTCTGAATTCACTGTCCTCCTCATTGTTGTCCTCCTCCCCAGGTGAAACCTCCAAGCGCCTCCACAGGCTGTTCACGGCAGTTGGCTGTGGGATCCTACCCGGGTATAACAGCTCAATTAGCTTGGTGCTAGCCCACACCACTCCACCTGCTCCAGTAACTCCATTGCCACTTCATCTGCTTCAGTTCTTGGTTGTTTGGTTGTATGAGAATACTTTTTTATGAAAGTAAATTAGACTGTCTTTTCAACATTTTGTTCGCTGTTATTTGACAAATTGGTGTTTTGATACTTGTACGTCATATGATCACCCATCAAACATTTCTCTCATTGTATTTTAAGAAACAATAAACATTATATTAATGACCCACTTAAACTGTAAAACTGATTTGCAATTTAGGTGTGCTGTTTAATTATATTTTTGTGTTTTTAATTAAGTTGCCCATGACTGAACTTTTAGGGGCAGAGATTTTTTAAGGGTAGAAGCAGAAATTCTTACATAAAGAAGCAACTCTGATGTGATATTAGGAAGCTCGTAAGTGGCTGTTGTGTTTAAAATGAGTGTTTATGTAATTATTTTCAGATTACATATCCAATGTAACTTTTATTCATTCAAGGCAGTCAAATTTTTTCATAACTTTATTATTTGTAAGTAAGTCTGAGAGTTACCGAATCCTGTTCCGGCAGGATCCAACTCAAATTAAGCCCCGGTTTTGGATGAATTTTGCACAAACTCATCAGCTGGTATAGTCGTAACCTGGATTATTATGTTCTATTTCGTACAGGCTTCGCCCTTTAAGGCCCTCGCTAGTGGGTTTTATCCCATCACGCGAAGCGTAGCACTTCAGTGCTACGGACGAAGCCTATACGAAATAGAATCTGGGGTTACAGTACGTAACCAACGTTTTTCTAAAATCTGATTAAAACTCTTTTTTTTTTTTCTTCCCCTTTCTTCTCAGATCTGCAGATTTGGAATCCATTCAGTCTCAGCTAAACTCCCCTAAAGTGAAAATGATGTCTCTGGTATTGGAGGCTGCAGAAAGCAGCTACTCTCCTGCTCTTCAGAGCATGCAGCAGGATGTTGTTGCAGGTAAAAGCTCAGAAGAAACGTGTGCTTCATAATAAACTGAATAATAATTTATGGTTAATCATAAAGAATGTTTTTGTCTGTGAAGTGTCAAGAGTAAGAAAATACTGCAGATCAATCACCCATTTATCAATCATCATGTCTCCATTCAGCAGCTTTGGAGGAGGCAAAAGACATTTGCTTGTACCTGACTCCCCTGCAGCGTTTGCTTGAGGACATGGACAACATGGAGTTTCCTGATATCAAAGGTCACATTAAACCATTAATGCACACAGTTTGCCTGGTGTGGGCCAACTCCAAACACTACAACACCCCAGCACGTCTCATCACTCTTTTGCAGGCGACATGCAACCTCTTCACCCAACAGGTTGGTGGAGTTTGTTCTTTTTCTCATGTCTTTTGTCTGAGAAGTTCATTAAAATCGAACTAGTGTTATGCTGGAGAAATTCTCTCGTTCTCTGACGTTTACTCAAAAGGACCACTCTCACGGCAGATGAAGGTTTTTTACCGGTATTTTACTTGCAAGCTCAAATTTCAGGACATGTTACATATATAAACAGACAGATGTATATGCATGAAAACCCTTCACAGAAAAAAAGCTACAAGCTGTGTTATCTTCTCCTTTTATACCCTTCTCAGTTCAGAGTTCATTACAGTTCAGGGGGCGTCCTTGAGGCCAGCTGCAGTCTTCTTTTTTTTCTTTCTTTTTTTGTTTAAAGAAAAAAGAAAAAAGAGAAAAAAAGGGAAAAAAGGAAAAAGAAAGAAAAAGAAAAAAAAAGCTGCTGTCTTCTTGGGGGGCGGGGGGAGTAGTGGCACAGAGGCTAGAGAAGGTGGGCCTGTGATTGGAAGATCGCCGGTTCACGCCCATGTACCGACAACATCAAAAATGTGGGTGAGGTAGTTAAAGTACCCACACTTGCCCCCACACTCATTCGCCCCACTCTGGGCCCATGAGCAAGGCCCTTAATCCCCATCTGCTCCTTAAATAGGTCTCTCTTGAAAATGAGTTCTCGTGGCTCAATGAGACTACCTGTAAATGAAAAATTTTTTTACACAGCACTCAACATGTGATTCATGGGCAGAGATAAGATACTTTGGGAGAAAACCACTTCTTGTTCTCAGGGCAGAGGAGAAGAATGTTCTCAGCAATAACAATAAAAACATCCATAACCTTTGACCAGAAATTATTTGACATTCTCTTGATTTCTCTTTTTGCATAACTCCAAAAACACCATAGCTCTGATTAGCAAAAGTAAAATATTTAATTAAAGGGGTGTTTTCAAAAATCCATGTGAGGGGGGCCTGGGTCTGAAGTGTCCCCTCAAGTCAGTCGGCAAAAAGCCTTTTCTTATCACCTCTAGCCTATTATACCTAATCACATTTCTTCTGTCTCCAGGGGTCCAGTTTTGATCTATTTAACTAACAAAGAGTTGACTCGGGTACTTCATGGCATCATAGCGGAGGTGTTTACCCAGATAGTACGGACTGAGGAAGGCAAAACTCAAAACCCTTTTAGGATGTAAAGTGATTTATTTATAGTGATTAAATTAACAGTAGTGTGTACAGGTGGGATTTCCTGGGAACCCTGGATGGGTACGAGAGAGGTCAGAGGCTGTGAGAAGCAGTTAGATATTGAAGCCTGTAGGTTTCTTACAGGACGTTGATAGGAGGGCCCAATAGAGAGGAAGGTGGAGGGTTCCAGATCCAGGAAGTCCAGCTGAGAGGAGTTCAGGTGGAACATGGAGACAAGTGATAGGAAGGCAGAGGAGCAGCTGAGGAACATCCACAAGGAGGACTCGTTACTCACAGGTAGGTACAGGAGTCGAGGATTTAAGGACAGTCAGTTTGGTCCAGGAAAGGAGGCGCAGGAACCAGTACACAAGGAAATAACACAAGGAGGCCAATTGCATACATACCAGAAGGTAAGTAATGCTCCAGTGAGGAAGGAAACTCTTCTGCAGCCTCTTATAGTCCTGGTGGTGATTAGTGGGATGACTGTCAGCTGTAGCTTGTTGGCACTGTCTCAGGGACCAGGAACCTGTAGAAAGAACTGGAAACCCTACACATGGTAAGTTTTAAAAAGTTGAAGATGTGTTGCGGGTGATGTTTAGTGATTATCAAACCAAAACCTCTGTTGGAGATATTTAAACATTGTTTGTGTTCAAAACAATGTGGGTTCAGATAAATTTGAATTCAAAAATTTGTACTGGGTTAGAATTATCATCAGTGGAAAAACGTCCCTCACCAGATGTCCCACCCTCATTGAGTTTGTTTATGTCCCATGGTGGACAATCCCAGCACACCTGGAGGAGTTCCTTTACGGGCAGTCAGTGTTATGATAAATTTCATTTTTTTGGTTGTGTCAGTGTGACACTTCAAGTTCAGCTTGAAAGCAAAATAAATAACTAAAGTGTAACCTGATTGTCCCCTACTGAAAAGTGAAGATGGGGAATTGGAAATACCCTCTGTCCGTTTTGTGAACATGATAACTTGAAAACAAGCTGAGGTACAGACTTCCATTTTGGTGTGTGGCTGCATCTAGAGGCATACGAAAAGTCTCTATGGAAAATTGAGTTGATATTTCAAAATTCAAGATGGCCACCAAGCCGGCTGCCCCTATCATTAGAAGACATTGTACTGTATATTCTAGTTTTATATTGCTTAAATGTATAGTTTCCTCAAATGACTAAGGTGTCTGAAGATTAATGTATGGTGGCCAAGGCCACCCTCTGATGTGGTCGTTGTACCTGGCGATGGATATAATTTCTCCCTCCACTCGCCAGGATTTGTCACTCCATGCCGCCTCAGAAAAGCAAAAAAAAATAAATTTAAATAAATAAACTACCTTTCTTCCTTACACAGTATAACTTCTATCCACTTAAATATAGAGTAGTCCCTAGTTTATTGCTGGGGATTCAAACCCTGAAGACCTGCGATAAGTGAAAAACTGTGAAATAGTAATAGTAGTACAAGTAGTAAGTCTTCTTCTTCTTCTTTTGGCTTTTCCCTCTTCAGGGGTCACCACAGCAAGTCATCCTCCTCCACCTCACTCTGTCCTCACTCCAACTACCTTTATGTCCGCTCTAACTGCATCCATATATCTCCTCTTTGGCCTTCCTTTTTGTCTTTTTCCTGGCAGCTGCATTTATAACATCCTTCTACCAATATACCCATGGTCCCTTCTCTTGACATGTCCAAACTATCTCAATCTGGCCTACCTAACTTTATCTCCCAGTTGTTCAACCTGTGCTGTACCTTTGATGATCTCATCCCTAAACTTATCCAGCCTTGTCACTCCTAAGGAGAACCTTAGCATCTTCATTTCTGCTTCTTTCTCCTGTCTTTTTGTCAATGCCACTGTCTCCAGACCATACAAAATAGCTGGTCTCACCACTGTCTTGTAAACTTTTTCTTTGACCTTTGCTGACACTTTTTTGTCACAAATCACTCCTGAAACTTTTCTCTATCCACTCCATCCTGCCTGGATTCTCTTTTTCACATCTTTACCACATTCCCCATTTTCCTGGACAGTCGACCCCAAGTACTTGAAGTCCTGTACCTTTGTGACCTCTGCTCCTTGTAGCCTCACTGTTCTACCGGCCTCCCTCTCATTCACACACATGTACTCTGTCTTACGACGGCTGACTTTCATTCCTCTTCTTTCAAGTGCATACCTCCACTTCTCTTCCACCTGTTCCCTGTTCTCACCACAGATCACAATGCCATCTGCAAACATTATTGTCCATGGGGATTCTTGCCTGACCTCATCTGTTAGTCGGTCCATCACCAGAGCAAACAAGAAGGGGCTCAGAGCCGATCCTTGATGCAATCCCACCTCCACCTTGAAGCTATCTGTCACTCCTACAGCACATCTCGCCACTGTCCTGCTGTCCTCATACATATCCTGTACCAGTCTAACATACTTTTCTGCCACTCCAAATTTCCTCATGGAATACCACACCTCCTCCCTCGGCACTCTGTCATATGCTTTTTCTAAATCCACAAAGACACAATGGAGTTCTTTATGACCTTCTCTGTACTTCTCCATCAGCATTCTCAAAGCAAATATGGCATCTGTGGTGCTCATTCTTGGCATTAAACCATACTGTTGCTCACAGATAGTCACCTCTCATCTAAATCTTGCTTCCACAACTCTCTCCCAGATCTTCATTGTGTGGCTCATCAACTTAATTCCCATGTAGTTGCTACAACTCTATACATCACCCTTGTTCTTAAAATTGGGCACCAGCACACTTATTCTCCATTCCTGAGGCATTTTCTCACCCTCATATATGCCATTGAATATTTGAGTCAAAAATCTCACTACTATTTCTCCAAGACATTTCCAAATCTCCACTGGTATGTCATCAGGTCCTACTGCCTTCCCCTTCTTCATTCTTTTCAGAGCTTTCCGGACTTCACCCTCACTAATCTTTCCCACTTCCTGGTCCACAGTTTCTATAACCTCCACTCTTCTCTCTTTTTCATTCTCTTCATTCATTAGCTCCTCAAAGTACTCATTCCATCTTCCCATTACACTCTCCTCACTTGTTAGAACATTACCATCCCTATCTTTAATAAGCCTAACCTGCTGCACATCCTTTCCAGCCTGATCCCTCTGTCTTACCAATTGGTATAAGTCCTTCTCGCCCTCTTTAGTGTCCAGTCTCCCATACAGCTCATAGTACGCCCTCTGCGTTGCCTTAGCTATGTCCCTCTTTGCTCTACGTCCCATCTTCTTATATTCCTGTCTCCTCTCTTCAATCCTCTCACTGTGATATTTCTTCTTGACTAATCTCTTTCTTTGTACGCCGTCTTGCACTTCACTATTCCACCACCAGGTTTTCTTATCATCCATCCTCTGTCCAAATGACACACCAAGTACCTTCCTACCTGTCTCTCTAATCACTGTTGCTGTAGTAGCCCAGTCATTTGGAAGCTCTTTCTTACTACCCAGAGCCTTTAACAGCTCCTCTCTGAAATTCTCACATCTTTTCTTCTTCAGCTTCCACCATTTGGTCTTCTTCTCTGATTTTACTCTTTTTCTCTTCGCAGCTGTGGCTGAGTGGTTAGAGCAGTCGTCCTCCAATGCGAGAGTTGGGGGTTCGAATCCACCAGCAGTCACATGCTGAAGTGTCCCTGGGCAAGACACTGAATCCCTCATAGCCTCTGATGTGTGTCCAAACAGTGTATGAATGTGATAAAGCACTATTAGTATCTTTAGAATGCTTTGTCAAATTAGCTTTGTAGAGATCTAGTAGAATGCTGTATGAATGGATAAATGAGGCACAGATTGTAGTGTAAAGCGCTTTGAGTATCTTGAAATAAGATAGAAAGGCACTATATAAGTACAGTCCATTTACCATG